TTAAAGGAGAATCCTGAATAATTGAGTGGTCACTGATTCATCTGATTATTTTCTTAATTATTTGATTTATCTTTTCATTCACAGAATGTCAGCAGTTGGGGAAAATGCCTATTTTGACTCTCTAGAGTCAAAGGCGATGTCTTCAAATGTCTTGTTTTGTCCATCCAACAACTCCAAAGATATTTTCATGTATGACAAAGAAAAGCATTGGTTCCCCACAACAAAGAAGGTGCAACCAGAAAATGTTGGTGATTTTTGCTTCAGAATAGTTTCTGGTTAATTCCTATCAATTAATTGACTAATGGTAAAGCTAAAGCTGTAATGAGAATGAAACAGTGTGTTGAACACAGTGAGGGAACATGTTTTGGATGAATCATGTTTCCTCCCTCCACCAGAGGAGCTCCAAAGCTGTTCTGGAGACACCTTACTAAAAAGTCTGTGCTGTTTACCTTATGTCAGGGTTTTTCCTTTATTTGTCACCCGTCTATACTGGATGTGGAGTTTACTTTTGTTTGCTTTGAAAGCCTTGCAAGAAATGTTCTTGTAAAACAAGGCCCCTCCCAAGTTAGACAAGGACTTGCAGATTAGAGAAGGCCAAATCTGAACATCTGAAAAAGATACCACAACTAAAACACATGGTTTATTTAACGGCACAAAGCACAGTGCAGTTTGAAACATGACAACAGTTGGTCTTTTTCTGCAAGGAGATACAGACACACTGTATGTATCTGAGATAGATAAAGCCACGAAGGCAGTGGCCCTTGGTTATCATCTGGTGTTAATATTCTACAGGCACTTAAAAGACCTCTGCTGTATATGTACCATATTTTTCTCTTTATAGTTTAGTGCACATTTAGCGCCAAAATATAACAACAACACAGGGCCTGTTTTGAATAAATAATGATTATGTTGCAGCAAAAATATAGTAAGTACAGTGCTTTGTTCATTACACTGGTGATCCTGCAAATAACAGGACAGTGTTTCAGAATAGTTGGCTAGTAAAATTCCATAGCATGGCTATACTGTTAAAATACAGATTTCTTAATTCTATCAAATCAGTAGGCACCTATTTCATATACTATACCATATTATATACATACTGCCTATAATTTTTGCTGCAGACTATTTACAGTCAGTGACTGCCTGAAATCAATGTTTCACAGACAAGAGCAAACACTTGGCATGTTCGCTGCTGATGCTCTGCCAGGCCTGTACTACAGCCATATTTATTCCTTGCCTGTTTTGGGGGCTTTTTGCCTTCAGTCTGGTCTTCAGCAAGTGAAACACATGCTCGTTTGGATTGAGGTTAGCTGACTGACTCGACTATTCAAGAGCGCTCCACAGCTTGGACATAAAAGCTCTGGCTGCCTTGTCAGTATTGTCCAGAAGCATTGTCCTTGTCTGTTCCATTGATATGTGATCAACGCGATCAGTAAATTAGGTACTTATAGATCTGGGCGGTACAGCAGGGGCTTTCAGATTGTGATGCGCGAGTCCCCAGCAAGCGTTGGGGAAACGTGAGGTAAACTCTGCGTGAGGTGAAAGGAGCAGGTGGGTGTTACAGTTGTTGGGCTTTTGATTTAGCCTGCTCATCAACACGGTCAGCAGTTGGAGCGGCAGCAGAGAGTGCAGCACACGGCCCATGGAGGCTTTTAAGCTATTTTATAACTTTCAGCATCCTGGATTTTTGCGCATAGCGTCAAAAGCTGTAGGCCCATCTTCTGCTCCTTCTTGGATGATAGGCCTGCACATACAGTATGCTGACTGTAGGGTTAGTGTGATTTTACAGCTCCCGGGTGTGTTAGTATCCAGGCTCTTCTTCTGCACATGGACCTTCTATGTTTTTAGTGTCAAAGTAATCCAGTGATGTGTAAACAAATAGAGGCTATCCCCACCACTCGGGTGTTCAGATGGTAGCTGTCAGAGCTCCGAATGTCGGGGGGGTTCAACATTTTGATTGGCTTGCTAATATTAACTTATTAGCTAATGAAACAGAGAAGAAATATTTTTTGTAGTAAAGTTCTGCTGAGCAAAATATAAGCAGTAAACCAGTGAAAGAATTTACTGCACAGCAGACACGTTTATATTTATTAGATGCAGGTATACAGTGTAATAGTATTTATTCAATGGAAATTCTTCTTTGTCACTTCTTTCTGTTGTAAAAATAGTGTCTGAATATACACTATATGAGAAAGTCTTAAGAGTCATAAGAGTTGAGTCTTCACACATTCAGTATGTTTGCAAGCACATTACTAATCTGATCACTCTTCACTTTCAGCCATAACCTGATTTCAGAAATGTGCATGTAAGGTCGAAGGATTAAGAGGACCCCAGTTTACACCTTGTTAGTCCTGCAGGGTTTACGTAGGTTGCTCTGTTGCTTGGGGCATTGTTAGCTGACAAATACAAGATTGGCATTTCAAAGTAAAACGCACTTACTGTATGTTGTCATTGTGTCACCTTTTCATGTACACAGCATAGTGAACTGAGATGTGTTTTGCATAATTTAGGGGACCATGGCAGAGAGAATTGTAGAAGCAGCAGTACTTTGTACAAAAACATGTTGTGCAATGACCGGTGAAATTATAAGGTTGTGAAATAATTAAAACCAAGCGAGAGACTATTTCTTTGCATTTGTAAACATCCTTTGTGCTGTATGTTCTGAAGTATTTCAGCCTGCTGGCAGATGGAGCAGACATATCCTCCTATAACAGATTTCTTTTCCAACTCTCTCGGTAAGATTAACGTACTTGAGACACATTCCAATCCAGCTCTGTCTTGTGTTGATGGTGTCATAGGGGGTGTGCCAGAGGGCACCCTGAGTAATCTGTGCAGAGACAGACTTGCCATATGTATCTGCTGCTACTGCTGTCTGTCGCTTACAAAGAGCAAATCTTCAGAGCACATGTTGTAGGATGGGAGATGGCCAAGACTTTGCACTGACCAAGCTTGGATCCGGTGTGATTTTGTGTTTGTGAGTGGGCTTCGATATCGGAGGCCCTTGTTCGTCTTGACCCTTTTAGTGAATGACAGATATGTGGCTTTGCATTAAAGCAAGACTACAGCTTCATACCTATTTTAAGTTGCTGCTGTATAATAAAAAGTCTGCATATAAAAACAACTTCCTTTTTCTTTAGTACCTCTCTGATCATTCAGTTGCAGCATGTTTTCCAGTTCTAACACTGAAACCGCTCAGGTGGAGCAGATGCTGCATGGGATTCTTAATTGGGCATCCCGAGTGATTACAGATACCTGTGTGCAGCTCATAAAACAGAGTCTACATGCGGAATTATAGGTACAGATGGAAATGGCAAATAGTACAGATCTCCTCAAGGGTTGCTTTTGGAACAGTGATGTTCCACCTTATGAATTACACTCAAGGTCCAGGCCAGCTCCATCTCTATGGACCTAGGGTGTTTCCCGTATGGAGCTTTCTGGCTGTAGCACACTGTTCTTGCTGTGATGTATAGTAAGTTACATATACTATTGTTATTTCTTAATAATAAAATGCAATACTGGATTATTTGTATTGGCTTTAAAGTGCTATTTTGCTTTGGTTGAACTTTTTCTCTATTTTTCTGCAGTCAACTAAGTTACCCCAGGGATCCATAGTCAGCACTCATATTTAGGCTTTTTCCACCTCTGTCTTTACTCGCCCATTTTTTCCTTGGCACCAACTAACAGTTATACAAATGTGAAAGAATGTTGCTCATTCTGTGATATTTGTTTTCGGGCTGTAATTTGTTTTCACGCTAAATTGCATTACAGATAAAATGCAGTATTTTGAGTTACCTTTAGTGAATTTATTTACATTCAGTCCTCACACATTAAATAAAAGATTTATTTGCAACTGTTGAAACACTTCCAGGGCTAATTCTACATTGAGTTTGCAGTGATACATTTAGTTTGCAGTGATGCAGTTTGTAAATGCATTAGAAGTAGTGTAATATATATAAACGATTAGAAGCTCACAGCCTATGTGGATGGGAGAAGGGAATGTCCTAAACTTCGCTGGCAGCTGCAGAGATGAGAGAACCTCATATTGTTTGTTTGTTGTTTTTAGAAGCCAAATGATTTCCTCAGTGACACAGTCTAGCATAAATCTGTCTACCCTTTGTAATGAAGTGTACACCTTTTCCACACTTTCTAAGATGTTGATGCACCTGTTTTTGGCACTTGTTGTCTCCAACTTTCTTTTGACAAGGCTCCTCTGTCATTTTGTAATTATTGTCACAGATTTTTTTTTTTTTTTGCATTTAACCTCACTGTTAATGAAAGGATCCTCATTGTGTATGTAAATTGCTAGAATATTGCCACATAAGTCCATGTATCATGTTCTAATGAAGACTTAAAAAAAACACCCAACAATTTTGGTTTAAAATAGGATTCCTTAGGATGTTATAAATTAAACATGTATTTGTCTCTCTAAACAAATAATTAGTTCATACTTAAGTCATCTGCATATTTAAGCAGGATGAAAGTAGCAAAATGAACATTTAAATGCATCCATGCATGAGGGTGTCTTTAAACCTCACTGTTTTATAATGCCCGTGAGTTGATTGTAAAATGTAAATTAGAGATTGAATGACGTGCATTATGATGTAAGCATTGGGCCTGGTAATTGTAATTATTTCCCAGAATAATATGCCGCATTTCATCACAGCATACAGATTCCCATATTAAATCCCCATACACTATAAAATCACTCAAGGGTGTTTATTGTGTCTAAATAATGAATAGACACAGCCTTTACAAGTTGACAGTGAAAAATTTCTGGTGAAGTCCCCTGATAGAATGCATTTCACAGTAAAATAATTTAGCCAAGCACGAAATAAAATGTATGCAACATTCTATTCTTAAATTAATTTTCTAATTCAGTTGGGGATAGTTATTTTACAGTCAGCGTTTTGCTGGAGAGAGAGTGATAGAGAGGCAGGCAAGCAAGTTAGAAGGTATGAAGCCTGTGCTAAATATTCTGTTGTGTATTGTTCTTGTTGTAGATGAACATGGACATTTGAAAATATACCTGCCCAAGAAGCTGCTTGAATGTCTACCGAAATGCACCTCGCTGCCAAAGGAGAGACACCGGTGGAACACTAACGAGGTAAGGCCCCTGCTCCTTATGGTGCCACTTATACTCAATCCATCGCTTACAAAAGGTTCTCGCAGGACCTTTTCAGACAGACTTGTAAGTTATGGGAAGTCACTTCAAAACACCATAACACCTTTCCATGAGGTTCTCCAATCCATCCATCCATTATCTATACTGCTTAACCTGAACAGGGTTGCAGGGGTGCTGGAGCCAATCCCAGCGACACTGGGCGACAGGCAGGGTCCACCCTGGACAGGCTGCCAGCCTATCGCAGGGCTGACCCATCTAAGTATCCTCAGAAAAAAAAACTTTTACTTGACTGTTTGCATAGGACTTATGTTTATCTCTATGTCATATGTAAGGTTTCTTTTAAATGACGTTTAAAGGACAACATCAGAAGCGTGTGAGCACATCACATTTGCATGAATTTCACTGAAATGCTTCACAAAATCTCAAAATTTAAAATTAATTGCCATCTATTATAGCTTCTACTGATACAATATGTTCTGCAGCTAAATATAAGAATAAACTACAAAATGTACAAAACATTCTCTCCTGCTAACCCATGGAAGTATTAAGGGGACCTGAACACCATATTAAAAAATGGAGCTCATTATTCCCACTGAAAGTTTCTCATTAGGCACATACGCCAACAAAGAAGTTTCTTCCGGGTTTCCTTCTGCATTGCACAGCCCATTGCACATGTGTGTTAGCGTTTTTCTTGCTGCCCTCACCTGTGCACTTCCCCTTGACCAACAGACCTAACATTGAGATGATATCATGAAAATAAAACTGTTTTACAGATTCTGGGAATGTTTTAAGGATCCATAGTACAAAGAGTGATAATTAACTTGGTTTGCAGTTTAAGGTGTCCTGTCAACAATTTTACTGAAATCTCTTTTATCATTGTGATCTATGGAGAAGTTACTTTCTGGGCCAGAGATTTTTTTGTTGCAGTACCGTGAGTGGCCATGGGAAAAAAATTGGCTGAATGGCTGAGTGGCAGGGCTGTATCCAGTTTTCTTAATACATCCATGCTCTAACCTTAGTTTAAAATTCATTCTTCCTGTAGTTTATGTTTACCTTGGATTTGCCAGTGCTCTTTCACTAGCAGGGACCTGCCCTCACTAAGTATGAATGAAAATAGAATGATATGGATAGCTTGTGTGTGCTTGGTTGCTTGTGCACATGATGGTTTTGTGGAAGGTTAAGGAGGTCTGCACTGCTCTCGGGGTCTGGCAGACCCTCAGCAGGGATAGAAGAATAGGAGAGAAATCAATGTAAACATAAATGGTATTTAACATTGATGGTGTGACAGCTCAGGCATTTCATATTTGCATCACATTAAAGCAGATAATGCACCACTTTACATTTTCTCTCCTGAAAATCAGACCACAAAACACTGCTTTTGTAACATGTCACATATGCTTTTGGTTGGGTTTTTCATTGTCTTCACTTAAGGGGCAGATACTTTAAATTATTATTATTTTTAGCACTTAATCATTTACTTTGTTTTGTTTAATGTTTATGGTGTTTATGTACTGAAGCACATTAGCTACTGCTGTCTAGTGACTGTAGTTCAGTGGGTAGAGCAGTCGTCTCCCAACTAGAGGATTGTAGGTTCGAATCACGGCGCCTGCAGTCCACATATCAAAGTGTCCTTGGGCAACACACTGAGCCCTCAAGTTGCCCACGATGGTTAGAGTCATCGGTGTGAGTTGGCGCTGTGGATAGCTTCCTTGGTTTTGTACCGGAAACAAATTCCTTGTGTGTAACATACTTGGCCAAATAAAGGTGATTATCCTTATCCTAATCCACTTTAGGAATGTGGCAGATGCATTTTAGTTAATCTGCTGTTTTGCACAGTTTTTTAAATCTAAAACGGTACAGTGGATCGTTTCTATGTTGTCGTATTGGTGAGGGTGTGTCCTTAATTTGTTGGTGTTTTGTCTATTTGCATGTGCTTTTTTTTTGCTGCAGTACGTTGAGCTCTTCGGGCCACCGTACAGTATCAATCACTAACACAAATAAAAAAAACATTAATCATATTCCAGAATGGAAAAATTTATATGTAAAATTACAACAAGTTACAAAAACTGCTTAACAATCTTTATGATACACATACTGCAGTATTTGGTTTACTAATGGATTGTCTCACTGCATCATATGAATAAACATGTTGTTCTGTATTTCCCTAACAGGAGCTCATTTGCCAACCTGCTCCTTTTGTCAGGGGGGACAGGGTGATGAAATTTATCACTTTCATTTCCACTATAAACAGATGAAAAGCTGGTTCTTCTTCTCAGTGAGAAACGGGTTGTAATTAGACGTAAATACACTCCATGACAAATCTTAAAACCAATATGCGAAAATCAACCAGCCATACTTTTGATTAACAAATTGTGACCATATAAATACAGTCATCTGCAGTGATGAAAGTTAATTGACTGAAAAACAACCAGATGATAAGGCACCAGACAGGCTCATTTCTAAGGAACAGGGATTTCAAAAAGACAATCTGTCATTGACATACAATTAAATATTATTTTTCACCTAAAAATAGATGAGAGGATTAATTTATCTGTGGTAAATGCATGGACCTGTAGAAGTAGACATAATTATACTGGTGACTTGATAAAGACAAAGAAACTGCATAGTTCTTTAAACTGTACCTCACTTGCATTCTGCATCCTAGTCTCCATCTGTCATATCTTTGCTCACTAACCCTGCCCTAGTTCTGAAAAAATGTATAACACTTGTGTGTTTTTAATTGGCTGATGTTGTAACTTGTTTGCCCTGTCTGACCTGCATTGTGCTGCTAGCAGTCTAAATTAATTAACATGGCTTTGAAATTGATCTCAAAATGTAAGTCTAAGCATTTGCTGGGGATAAATGCTGTCGGCTACAGTTGTTAGCGTGTCTTGTCATTTATTAGCAAATCATATAGCAGACATATTTCAGGCAAAGCACGACGTTGGGTTACAGGGCTGCAGATTCGTCTGTGGATGTTTGGCAGGCTGATGGGATATTGGAGAAAATGAGAAAAAAGATGGTTCTTGTAGTAGTGTTGTAAGAATGCCAATCTTGTTTTCTGGGGCTGAAGAGATCCTGGCAACCTTTTTTAAAATCAAGGACATTTCTTTATTTTGCACACCATGCAAATCAGTGTTTGTGGCTCACTGGTGGCAGACGGGTAGAAAGGGAGGGTCTTGGCTCTTGTCGGTGCAGTTGTGTGACTCTTAGTGAAAGTGACACCTCATCAGTTCTGTGCATATTTCTGACACTACCTCAGCATGCTTAATGCACTCATTTTCCACTTTTTTACATTTAAGTAATCTCAGTAGTTTAGTAGGTTAGAGATGCTGTTCATTTGAGCAAAAGGAAAATTGATTGTGTGATGTAGTGTACCGTGCTTATTTTTCTTATAAGGCAGCGTTTAGCCCAGGCAGTTTGGGTACTTTATATTTAAAACCTTCTGTTGTTGCTATGGAGGGGCTTTAAGGTAATATAACATGCACTCTCTAGCAGACATGTTGAAGGTTCATTTAATTGTGCAGTGATTAACTGAGTATTGGATTAGTCCATTGACAGAAAGTTAATTAGCAGCTATTTGATAATCAGGTACTTGTGTAAGTCATTTTAAAACAAAAATACCTCTAGGTTCCTAAATGTGAGGATTTGCAGATTGTTCTTGTCTTACATTATGATAAACTGGATATACATAGGTCCTGCGTTGTTAGTCACCCAAAACAAGACATTTGGTGATGTTTTCTTGGGCTTCACTAAATACAGTTTTCTGAAGTTTTATAAACCAAAACAATTTGCTGATTAATTAGAGCAGATTGTAGAAACTGTTGGTAGTTGCAGTACTTTAAATATTTGCATGCAGTAGTATGCAGTGCATCCTATTAAATAATTCAATGTAGTGTCTGTTTGTTTCGATAGGGACTGATCCTTTTTTGATTGTTTTCATCTTACTATTATCAACAGATCCACTGTGTCATAGCTAACATCCGGTAGCTTTCACCTACTGTGCTATGGCGAAGCTGGGCTTGGAACTGCTAGCAAAAATGCTAATTGATTATGTTAACTCAGGTGACTCTTCTTTAACCACACTGTGCACTAGTTTGGAGAGGACACACCAAAACATGTTACAAATCTTTATTTGGCTTTATAATAAATCAGTGCAGTGCTGCATGTACCAGGCGATGGAATATTCATAAAGGCTCATTGTGTTGTAAGCGTGTTATTCCTCTCTCCTGCCACCCACTTTTTGTGGTTGTACATTGTTTGTAGCTTGTTCAAATCTTTATTTTTGGTGGAACTGACTGGATTCAACTTGTTGCTTGGAAACTTTAATCTGGAAGGAGAGTGTTCATGGTGAGGTGGAGAGAGGCTAATGCAGAGCTATTTATTTCTTATTCTTATGATCCCTTTGTGTAGTTTTATGAGAAGAAGGTGTGCAGGAAAACATTTCAAGCATTTACTGGAAAATTAGTTAAACCAATTGAATCAAAATTCAAGGGAGAGGATGGGGGTTTAAAAGGCTGAATGGTACTCGTCATTGAATCATGAGCAGCGTGCAAGGTTTGGATATGCTATCGGCTTCAAATTATCAGTGGAATAAAAGTACTTGGCATTGCTCGAGAAGTTACTCAGCAACTGTGGCAAAGGAAAAAACAAGGTATTGTTGAGAATAATACAAACAATGACTGTGCAAACATTTTTGTAGAAATAATCAGTGAATTCTCATCTGTTGAAATGAGACAAGATCATACTCCACTTTGTAGTAAGGAAAATAGAAATACTTCCAGAAAGTCTATATTTACCTTGTTTGTGTAACTGCTCCTTCAGCCATTGATGTTCTCTTGTCTCCCATGTCAGACACATAGGAATAAATCCTCACAGAATTCCTCTCAGATCTGCAGCCAGCTGCTGTTGTCTGCTTGGTGCCCTGGCACCATGACCTCTATTTTGCAAGACATTTCGATTGAGATTACAATCTTTTAAAA